GCGCCGCTGCACAGTGTCGGTGGGAACTAACTAAGGACCAAGACAGGACTTAACAAAGCAAGAATATCATCTTATCTCTTGCAGCTATAATCATCTATACACTATAATGTAAAAAAAAGTTGCGCTTAGGTAAAGAAGACTCTTAACGGCGCGGCGGTTCGATTTACTTAACGATCTGGGATAGCGGTTGAATTAGCGATTTATACGTTCGTACAAACTCCACTTCTTTAATAAAACGATCCGCTTTGAGACGATTATACTTTACACGCTTAAACTATTCGTCGTTTCAAGGCCATTTCTTTAGTATCCATGATGATGCAATCAAGGGAATAGGTAAACAAACAGGGGGAACAGCCTGTTTATTTTGAAAGCTGTTTATTATAAAAAAATGTCGTCTAGGGCATTTATGCCGGGATCGCCTCGCTTTAGCCTTTTATCTAATTTAGTACCAGGTCCGCAATACTGATAGCCAGGAATATGTAGTTCCACTGGAAGTTTGTTTATGAGATTATTAACCAAGCCACTCCCATCCGTACACTTCATCACTTCCATCAAATAAAACAAAAATGCTCAAATAAAGTACGTTTATTGACATATGTGATACATAAAATAAGTAGGTCGATAGTATAATAATTCCATCATGCAAACTGTATTATGAGAATTGACGTTAAACTTATAGTTTAATACGTCTTCAATATCGCGATAGATGTTGTCATCGTCGCCCTCGTCCTCGTTACCAAACTCCATTTTACGAAAATGACGGTAGTTAATCACCTGTTCGATAACATCCTGATAGAAACAGGACAGAGCGTACGATTCCAGTAAATCCAAACGATAGTTGATTATATCTTTTAGATTAAACAATTCTTCAACGACGTACTTACTCATCGTGCAATAATGCAGCTTATCACGTTGTATTGTTACGCTCTCTAATATTTTCTCAGTCGTCGTGGGATCCCGCACAAATTTCCTGTTATAATGAATAGTAAAATTTGCGTTAAGCGATTCAGAACTTTTGTCGTGCTCAATATCTTCTTCCTTAACATTGGACCAGTCGATCCAATTTTCGAGCTCTTGAGATCTAAAGAACTTCATCTCGAGATATGTTTGGTGCTTTAGAAGCATTTCCCAATCTTCTTTCACCATCACTATCGCATTTAATGGAGAGTGCACAATTCGTAAAACTGGGGCCAAATTAAGATGCGTACTGTAGCCAATTTCAATATATTTCTTCGAATTGCTTTCACCATCGTAGAGGTCATATGATGAGCAATCGATTAAACGTTCGTCGGCAGCTTTACTATGCACATTTTCAGCAAACTGGGTGATAGAATCATCACTAGTGTCTTTGTTGTTATTACAGCACCAGCACGAGCACGAGAAATAATTATTAGTACAACTGATTGTATCCATTTTGGAGCTTTTTTTCGTTGAGATGATCTCGACCCCACGATCACAGAACAACTAAAGTGTTTCTAAGGGTGGATATGCATTTAAATAAGAGACACAATTTCTCTCTCTCATCAACAACATTTTATTATTTCTCTCTATCTCATTTACAACTTTTTTACATAAATTTTAAATTAGTAGTCTCCCCCGCCGTTCCGGCGCTTGTTATAAACACTTCTTCCCTGGACAAGGTGTCCTTGAAGATCTGCAGACGGTTGTCGCTCTTGAAGTAGTCATAAAAGCGCAAAGGAAGGATGCACTTAAAGTTCTCAGTATCGATCAGTATTCGGTCGCCATATTTGGTATTGATTAGGTCGATACCAATCACTTTATACTTTTCACCGACCTTCATATCCTTGACGTTCTTGAAAGGTTTGCAGTAGGTGCTACTGTTGAGTTGATTAAGATCCATTTTAACTGATTAGCGAACACTATTCGACTGATTCCATTCACCGTTTCTACCACCATTATATTGCTGTCTGTTGACCTTGAAATTTAATGCGATAAACATTACTGTCTGGTGACCTTGAAATCTAGTGCGATATACCATTACATTGAGTTCTGGTGACCTTGAAATCTAGTCAGATAAACTGATAAACGATGATTTTCTGCTAAGACGGGAGACAATATCTTACAAAATTGCTCTATTTTTGTACTAAAGCGAAATCTATCCAAGGCCATAGTTTCCCAAGGCCCTTTTCGTGCCGCACTATATGCAAAGGACCACGCGATCAGTACATACACGCGATTGTTACTATCGTCAAATGTAACTTTCTTCATCACCGTATTATGTATTCACCCAACTGAGTCTCGTTCAGTCCGTTTATAAGGCAATCAACGCATATTTTGTAATTTAAAAAGAGTCTACATAGTTCAATCCCCAACTCATACGTTTGGACAATGTTTTGACACTGTTCCCTAAAAGTCTCAGGTCCATAGACCGCCTCATGCTCAGCATCAGATAGCAATACCAATAAGGTTTGATGAAGGCATTCAACAGCCGTTCGCCGCATATTCCCCCTTAACACTAACCACATTTCAAGCTAACATCTTCTAATATCTATATTTAAATTGCAACACGTTTGACCTTGAGGCGGCACCCCAGAAAAACACAAACAATTTGATTACACACAAACAACATACACAACCTCCCTTTGTTCTCAGCGATCGATCTTGAAATCCAATGGCCTTGAGCCGCCGCCACCCCCCCTCCACACAAACAATACACCCCTTTGTTCTCACAACTCGACCTTGAAATCCAATGGCCTTCACCCATCACCCCCTCCGAAAAACACAAACAATACACCCCTTTCTTCTCAACACTCGACCTTGAAATCCAATGGCCTTCACCCATCACCCCCCCTCCGAAAAACACAAACAATACACCCCATTTCTTATCAACACTCGACCTTGAAACCCACCCACCCCCACTTACGCAATACCACTTTGACCTTCAACACCACTTTGACCTTGAAACGCTAACACTTCAATCATATGGCACTTTTCAATGTAAAGTGGTCCAGGATCGGCCTTACTATACTACTAATATACTTTTATTTTTCAGTCGTTCCCAAAAGCAATTCCCTCTGGCGCATCATTTTACTATTTTTGGTATTATAAAAATAGGATACCTGACAGATTCATTTATAAAATTGAATCACTACCTACACAGACAATTATTTATTTATTTTTATTTATTTATTATCGCTCTCTTGTTCTGGGCTCGCAACAGGCTTGCGCTCAATTACAGAGTGACCCGCATAATGCTTTTTAGGGGTGCCTCCGCAGAAAGTCTTAAGTTGTTCTATACTACTCCGATTTTTACCTTTGGAAAACTGTAGGAAAACCTAATTCGGAGTAGCCGGCAGAATGCTCGAACACCCGACCTACGGATTTATAGCTCAACGCTCTACCATTGACCCACAAAGTCGGTCAATTAGAAAAAGCGACTCAATAAAGAAAAAAATGGAACATAAAATATCAGAAAAATACAGTGCGGGCCAGGGAATTAGCCACAACATTTTCTAGAAATATGTGGTCATCGTCACTGAAATTGCCAAACAGTTTTTCGCTTATTGAACACTATTAAAGGAGACGTGAAGAGAGAATTTTAGATTAGAATTAACAAGGCAACTGAGCACTATTAAGTAAGTACCGTATCCGCGTACATTTTGTCACTTGATGCGACACCGTTGTGTTTTGGCCTTGAAGGAAACTCATAAATTTGGACGAAAATAAACATTTCCAATGTTAAACATTTTTTTTTCCTATTTTTGTATCCTGGACAAACTGAGAATACGCATGTATATCCCTTTCACCCTTTATCCAGGATTAAGACAGGAAACGGAATAATTTTTATTGCTGGCTGTGTAAATCGGAAGGACCACAGAGAACTCCTTGGCTGATACCATTTGAGGAATATTAGGTGAGTGAGACTATTCCTTAGTTATGCAGCTCACTTAGTAGAATATGAACTTTGCATTTTCTTTCAAATTTAAAACACCTTACTGTACTTTATTAAACAACTCTTTGGTTTCTTTAATTGATTCTTTAACTAATTTGTCAATATTGTCGCATAGATAATATGAAAATTGATAAATGCTCAGTTCATTTTCATTAATGCTCAATTGTTGTTCGGTGCAAACGTTTCTAGCTTGACTTATGTAGATATACGAAGCAAATTTATTATTTCTACCCTTTTTAAGATACTGAGAAGGGCCCTTTTCACAAAAATATCAAACTGACAGCAAAGAGTTCTTAGGTGATTTATATTATCAAAGAAACGCATAATCCACACATTTACGAAACCTACGTCTTCATTTTGCCTTTTATTTGTACATCCGCTGTCTAAACTGTTACTGTTTTATCTTTCATATCACTGAATGGAAATCAATCACATGTATAGTTACTCTAAGATACTCAACTGTAATCGCTTTAGTTTACTATACTTGAGCACGTACAGGATTTATTTCAGATACAAAAGGTGCCGCTCTACAGCTTTAGATTAATTTGTTCTGCAGTTGAATACGTTTTCTTTGCCTATTACAATGTGACAGCATACCTAGTCCTTTGTAGGTGTACTGCACTATACGCTTTAACTTAAAGGCATACAGCAGTTATTGTGGTTATTGATTATTCAACTAGTATGGTATCGCTACAAAAAAAAAACGAAATCGGTAGGTAAAATACAAAGTAGCTCGATACAGCTAAATAAAGCTTCCAAATTGTAATAGAGCTTACAGAGAGATTTAAAAAAATCACGGTTTAATAAACAACAAACTGAAAACATTGTTCCCTCAAATGGAAAGCTACATACATACAGTATGTTTGAGTTATGTGACATCAAATAAAATTTTTGTCTAGCACACAAATGCGTGTTCAAACGCAAATAAAAATGTTTAAACTTGAATTAGTACAAAATTCCGCCATGAGTTTCCAACAAGTATACATTTTCTCTGTTTACGTAGTACATGAGTTATAAATGTTAACGTTAGACGGCAGAAAAATTCTTACGATCTTTTTATGCTTCCAATAAAATCGAAATTATTGACCATTGCGGTTTGTTTTACGAAACTTCAGTTTGTCTATAGCTTTTTTAATGATTAGTTTTGCAATGAATATGAGTAAATGCCTATAAAAAAACGTCCAAAGTGTAGTTATGTTGCCACGGGTCGCAGGAAGGGTTGGAATGGCATGGGTTAATGTGGTGAGTGACCAACTTGAACTTTATTAGGACAAGAAACTTGTACAATTCACTTCTCTTGCAGGAGGCATATATAGTATTTTGTGCACTAACCGGAAATGAAACATAGTTATACAATGACGCGTTGTTAACATGCTGTGCGTGCTTCATTTGGGAGAACAGTCCGTCAGTGCGTGATGAACTTTTCCCTAAGGATTTCCTACCTACCCTTTGTCCTTGTTAGAACCGCACCTACTGACCTGTAGCATTCTAAATTATTATTATTCGAATTATCAATATTCATGGTAATCTCAAAGAAGGCACACCTGTTACACCGAAAGCAACAAGCTGGTTAAATAATTTCGGGTTTTCTTATAAGTTACTGTTACCGATTGATGCGTGCTTGTTGTTAGAGCTCTGTATTTAAAATGCTTTACATATAATTTAAACTTGTACACATTCCTTTCTATTATGTCAGAAATAACATAAGAAACCACTTCCCACACTAAACCGACATAGAGCGAGGGTTTCAACCGCGTATGTCCTAATTCATTAGAATAAGGTGGGCATATCCTTCCCTCACGGAAAATTGGCGTCCTGTATTAATCGTCCATGGTAATTTGCAATACTGTATCTCAAGAAAACGAAATTCTGTATGTCGCATCCCACAATTCGCAATCATCGCCCTCCAGTGTGTAAGTAGTGACGTAGATTAACCAATAAATAATAAGAACTTCTTCAATGGCTCAATGAACAGTGAAATGTTGTTAAATGCTAAAGGTGTGGCTACGTACATCAAATAGTTTTTTTTTCGTAAAATGTACTAGATCGTTCATAGAAGTACCGCAAAATGTGAGGATATCTCACAGTTACTAAGTACGACTTACGCAAACCGTTAAATTTTAATCGAGAAATCGACACACCATTCAAGCTTTTTCTGTCACTTACTTGATCAATGACGCTAAAATTTCTCTTCATTTATCACGGATTAATTGAACTAAAAAATTTGTGCGTGTCCTTTATGATTCACAGAATTTGCGGGTGGGTCCATTACTATAGCATTTGTTGACTTTTGCTAACAGAGGGCAGCCTGCCGATTTATGGAAACCCGGGATGCTTAGATTAGGTACGGCACGAAAGACGGTTGGTAACAATATACTCTCATTGACTAATTGTTTTCTCCTCCAGTCTAAGCATTACTACATTGTTTCATGTGCTGTGTCGCACATGTCTCTCTCATCAATTACATCCAATTTGAACCACAAAAACTCAGTTAACATGAAACTGAAGAATCTTGATTAGGCGATACAAAGAGTACTGCAGTGACGTTGTGCCTTAGGTGCCTCTTCCCCTAATTTTTTTTTAAATGCGAACTCAGTTCAGTAACGATGTAATTGTATGCTATAATGAAATAGTGGCAAGGGTATACGCCTTGCATCCAGGCGACTCGGGTATCGATTCTCGGTATGAAAAATTTTTGTTCACGCTGGTAAATCTTGTACTATTTTGACACTGACACTATTTCCAAAATGGCCGCTACAAGTTGTCTAAAATAAGTCATCCTTATTGAGACACGCCATATATATCGCGAGTATGGTTTGAGTGCGCAACGTATCGATTATACGAGGCAAAAATGGGAACCTTTCGAAATTTATGAAATCTTAAATTTTCAATTACACCCTTTACAATTGCACTGATTAACGACCGTTTATCTTTATCATACTTGAATTAGTATCTTCTCATGCGTTTTATCATTGAATAAAAACACTAATTTTTTATTCAATGGTTTTATCGAGTGTACATATTCTAAAATGTTATTTTAAAGAAGTTTGTGTAAACGGAAAATAAAATAAGAAGTTATAGTTGTGTAACTTGAACAAATATAATTAGTACTTCAGAACCCAATTTGCACTTCATGTCAGGATAAATTAGTAAGAGCCGTTAACATTTTCATTGCTATTCCAGTATACAGAGTAGGAACCTTAATTAGTCAATTATAAAATTATTCAGTGAAGTCAATGACAAAATTAGATCCAAAAACAATGGCAGTTATAATTATTAAAGATACATTCTTCCTTTCCTGAAACATTTAAAATACTAATTACACGATATTAGAGTTACTAAAAATTACTGTATTAGTTCATACCTCGGCACAATCTCCTAAATAAAAAGATTGACGCTGCTTTGTGGCAGTAAATGCTTGAAACGTATAATCAGATTTCATTAGCGTTTATTAAACGGATCCAACGCAATAATCCTTTGTTGAGTAAAAATTGTCGAAATTCTTAACACGATATACTAACTTTGAAATTTTAGCTTAAACGATTAAATAATTTGAAGTGTTACGGACTAAAGCACTTCATAGGAATTAAATTTTAAGCATCACTTCCATTGCCGTAGGTATTACAGCTACGCGTAGATAATTTTTTTATTCACCTGATACCCCACGTTTGAAAAATCACATTGCGTGTTTCTGGAGATATGCTAATTTTTATTACGGAAGTATTGATCATATATTTGGATAAACATAAACGCAATGTGTTATCAAAAAAAAAGTGTACTACTTTATAAAATCGTAAAACAAAGCAAACTTTAAGGCTACCTTAGCAGCATAATTTCTTCTGCTCGCTAAGACACGTTGTGTGTTTTCAGAGATTCAAAAATGTCCTATTTTTGTTATGATTTCACAAAGAGATCAGAGTATGCATGCGTGCATAGATGGAGGCTAAGTATTTTATACAATAATTCAACGTGGTTTATGACAAAAATGAAATGACGCTCTAGATTTTTTCCTAATCATAAGTAATGACTTTTCTGTGCTAATGGACGTAATGTGTTTGGGGCGACATAGATACACCCTCGAAAATGAAAGCAAGTACCTCGGGTTAATTTTCTAACGTATAGCACACAATGATGAATGAATAAAATATATCCACATAACTATCGAATATATTCCGTGACAAGGGGTCGTAATAAAAGTGCCTCAAATCGTTTTTGTGTTCAAGGGGTACATGCAAATATGCATATTGCGAATAACTTGTTTTAAAACTAGGGATTTACGTTTTTAATGTAAATATACTCGTTATACTTTGACAAATTGTTTAAATTAACAAAATTATAAGCTCATTAGTATACTTGAATACCGTGATTACATAATTTAATGGAAATTATTTTGAAAAATTTACAATTATAATACACCCGCACCTTATTCATTGTCATCCACGTGCTCTGATAGTGAAATTATACACTGCACAAGTATGGTTTACAGTAGTGGCACAGACTGAATAACTCGTAAGGAAATAGTTTTTGGAAAAAAAGCCGAGTTTGGTTCGAAGGGGGACATCCTTTACTTAAAAATTTACATCCCCTAGGCGGAGTTGCCACCCCTTCAATGTTTTGAAATTGAACGTTGGGTCGAGTGACACATCATTGGAAAAAGCTCTTCATTTCCTACACGCCTATTAGCACAGGGATCATACAGGATGACTTTCAACAAATTAGAGACACGCTGAAATTTGGCAAGGTACTTTGTTTTAAGGTATTAAATACAGTCTTTGCAAAAATGCGATAAAAAGTAAGGAGAGTTTGGAAAATACTGACTTTTCACAGCAACACTCACTGCAAGTGGAACATCTTTTACAACGAAGTCCTCGAGATACAAATCGATTCAGAAGTAGATATACTGGGGTTTGCAGACGATACCGCAATCATGGTACGAGGCAGAATAAAGGCGGTAGTGCAGAAAGGAGCGCAACAAACACTCGACCACCTGATATGGGTGCTAAAATTGAAAAAATTAGAAATTGCTCCACATAAAACTGAAATGGTTATTCTGTATGGGGGTAACAAGGTGAAAGAAATGGAGATACATGTAGAGGGGCACCAAATCAAAGCTAAAGAACAAGCAAAATACCTGGGAGTGGTTATAGGTAGAAATATGTCCATGAGTGAACACATAAAGTCTACAATTATAAAGGCTGAAAAGACAATAAAGGCGCTTAGCATCTTAATGCCAAATGTAAATGGACCGTCGGCTAGCAAAAGACGGGTTATGTGCTGTGTAATCCTTTCAGTGCTTCTATATACGGCCCCAGTCTGGAAAGAAACGGCAGGTCTGCTAAAATATAAGAATATGCTCCTGAGCAGCCCTCCGCATATGCTGCGCGTACAAAACGGTATCAACCGAGGCGGCGCTTGTAATCGCTGGAGTGGCACCGATAAACCTGCCGATAATAGAAAGAGCAGAAACCTACGGCATGAATGAAGAAGAAAAGAAAATACACAAGACAAACACAATAAAAGCGTGGAAAAGGGAATGGGAGCAAGTAACAGGTAAAGCGGAATTAACAAAAATGCTGATAAAAGACCTAGAAGTATGGATGAACAGACCGCATGGAGAAGTAATTTATTATCTCACACAATTCCTGACAGGGCATGGACAATTCGGCACATATCTACATAGGTTTAAAATAAGATCTAATGAAAAATGTATGTATTGCGAAATGACAGACACGGTGGAACACACAATATTACGGTGTACAAGATTTACAGAGGAGCGCAAGAAAACCAAAGGTATTATACATGCAGAAATAGGTATAGAAAACATCATAGGGATAATGCTGGAAGAAGAGAACAAATGGAAGTCAATTAATAACATGATAACACAAATATTAAAAACAAAAGAAAAAGATTTCAAACAGGAGAAAACAGATGGAGCATAACCAGAACAACCCATGTACTGAAGAAATGCCTTGGCGGTACCGGTACAAATTGAACGGCGAAAAGAGAGGAGGGTTTTTAGTGGGTATGCCTTGGAGACTCCCATACTACCACTCAGGTGTCCATAAAGGATTTCCCTCCTCCCGTGTATCCAAAAAAAAAAAACTCACTGCAAGTATGAACTAAACGGAGAATGATGTGCCGGAAAAGTCGAGACGCCTACGATTGGGGTGGGGGTGGTTGCTTAGAGTTATGGATGGTCACCTCGAAGACCCCCTTGCAGGCAGTATTAATTCATCATGTTAATGTAGGCATCCTAAGTGAACCGTTTCCAGCTTTTTATATTAATATATTAGGAAATACCATAGATTATAGTATTTCGATTAAGTAGTTGAATGAGTTGCTGAAATTTGAGCCACTGAACATCTAACAAATTTGACGTATACATACATGGTAGGAAATTTTCTTCTCTATATTTGTTCTCCCTTGACATTTTTTCTTAAAATTCTTAGTTTTAGAGTTATTAAGAAAAATTTAAAAAAAGATAGATTTTATCCCACTAAGGGAGTGGTTTTAGGGTGACGGGCTTAACGCCTCGACACTGGTGTATCAGAGGGTGTTTAGACCCTTATAACAAAGTACCTTGCCGAATTTCTGCTTGTCTCTAATTTGTTGAATGATGGATAGGCTGGTTTCGTTTTCAAATTCTAACGATGAATAGAACCTCAGAAAATTTTAAACAAATTACGTAGGAAATTTCTTTATTTTATTCAAAGATGGATTTGAGCTTGTAAATCGTTGTTAATTTCGTGGTGTACCATTTAATTTACTCAATAGTGTAACAAAATAAAGGCGACAATTATCAAAGCTTCATTACCACGGAATGGCACCATGAAACAATTAACTGTCCCTTTATCTAACTATCCTATGATTCTCACCTATACATCCATATTTGATTGTTACAAATCGTTAATTG